TGGCCCTGGGAGATGGCTCTGTGGTGAAAATAGGGACAGCTTTCACATAACCCCATTAACCAAATAAAGTTCTACTTATTCACCGTTCATCTTTTCATATGAGTAAGCAGCAGCTATCTGTGCAAAAAAAATCCAGTTTTCTATCATCATTTGACATTATTTTTCTTTCAATCCACCAGTCCTTGATTTTAAGACTAAATGAGCATAAACACCTTGAGGATAGATTTATGCAGCTAAAAAAGTAAAGATATTAACAAATCCTATGCTGTGCAAAAGCTTTGTCTTGGCATTTTTGTAATCCAGATAATTACATTTACAGAGACAATTTTTCCCCTCGCATTTGTTTAGAAAGTACAATGGGGAAAATTATCTTTACACTAAAAAAAATAAATAGGATCATGTCTAAAAATTCGAACTAGCATTGTATTCTGCTCACATTTCTCAGCTTGGATGCAATCAAGACGAGTAGGGTTTTCACTTAGAGTTAAAGTGATGCTATATTTTACCTAAATTTTCTTGGCATAGTACTACAATTCCTGGCACTCATATTCACTGAAGAGGAAAGATGGAATTAATTACAAAAGTTGATCTTTATTTTGTACTCTCATCTGGTAAAGTCATCTAGTGTGACTTTATTACTATTACAAGCATTTTATTTAGGGATGAGGACAAACCACCAACATTTTTCTCTTTGATACAGTGTCTTTTTTACATGCAGGTATAAATCAGAGAAAGGAGGAGTATTAGGTATCTTTTCCATCTTGAGTTATTTATTTAAAAAAAACAATAAAGGAGGGATATAAATAAAATATAATAAAATAAACTACATTAATGGAGCACTGAATCTCCATGTTTTCCAGTGTGCTAGTTATTGTGAGGTATTGTCATTTATAGACTACTTTTTAAAGCATAGCTGTTGCCTCTGAGTCATTATTGACTGCTTCAGTTCCTGATCTCTTAAGAATTGGAAAAGCAGCAGCCGAAAGACGGGAACATTTTCTGAACAGACTTGTGCACAGCAACCTGTTCTTTCAAACAAACTAGTCAGACAAACCACTTCAGGTTTTAAACAAAGACCTTTCCAAATACTCTGCTGGTTATTTCCAAAAGCGTCATGGAAGCCCCTCGGAAATGATCTGGAAAAATTTTTCTTTGCATTCGGTAGAATATATTAATTTATCTGGAGAATTATAAAATCATGATGTTGCAAGCACAGCTGCATATGAAAGGGGCAGAGCTTATGTCACTTTTATTAAAAAAAAAACCTCCGGTCCTAGGGTTGTCTCTGATGCCACTTATTTAAAAAGTTAACTTATTAAATTTAATACAACATTCTTATCAAAGGGATGGTTATTTTTCAGAATTGTGCAGAAGTCTGAAAGCATCTGGGCTATTTTAATAACAGAAGATGAGGTCTGAAGCACTTGTTCCAATCCTCTCTGAAGTATGCACTGCCCTATTCTCTGTACGCTTCCAGCAAATTATTGTAGCGAAACACAAGATGTATCAATCAAGGGATCTGGCTGAAGGAACAAATTGGATTGGGAAGATATTCAGTCTAAACATACTGGCTATCTGTGCAAAAAAACAAAAACAAAGCAAAACCCAGTTTCCTATTATCATTTGACATTATTTCTCCATCCACCAGTCCTTGAATTTAAGATTAAATGGGCATAAATACTTTCAGGGTAGATTTATGCAGCTGAAAAGCTAGGTTGTTGTTTTTTTTTTAAAAAAAAAATAACTCTCGCTAATTCAGCCTCAATCCAATGATGTCACAATCATTGCTTTGTCTTCTGTGGCTCCTCACTTGCTTCTCTGACACTAATCCCACTCTTTAGTGATATTAGTTAAAGAAATCAGATAAATCAAGTGTTTCTCCACTGCTGAATTTGAGCAATTCCAGGGACAACATCAAAGCATGGGGGAAGGGGGGGTGTTAATGTACAGTAACATTAATAATATGAGATTATTAAAGATATGTTCTCCTACTCCCTTGGGTTTATAGATTTATTCATTTTTGATTGTTATAGATAGATACGGAGTTTTGAACTGTTGTTGTGCTGTAAGCCTCCCAGTCACATATTTGTGAGATGGGTAGCTATGTAAATATGCTAGTATATAAATGAATAAATAAATTAAAAGGCCCATTGTCATGTGTTAAGAGAATTATGCATGAAACCGTTGCTTCCTGAAGAGTAATACAGGCAGTCTGCACTTAACAATGGTAATTGGGACTGACAACTCTTTTGTTAAGTGTTGCGGTCATAAAGCGCAACATCAAGTGACTGTGCTGGCGGGAGTTGCCTTGTTAGGTGAATCCCACTCAGTCACAAGTCCCACAGTCAGATGGTCACCTGCCTTCTGGAATCTTTTCCCACCAGAAACAAACTAGCTACATCTCTTTCCATATTCCATATTCTTTCCATCTTTCCATATTCTGCAAGACCTGGCTTTGCAATCAGGCCTGGCGATCTCAGAGGACTGGGGAGATTTTGCAATTGTTCCCTCAATATCCTCTCCTGCCTCATGTGTTTTGTTTTATAGTTTTTGTAGTTTTTAATGATGACTTTTCATCTATTTATTGGTTTTCTTTTTAATTAACTGTTGCACCCAGAGTCATGCTTGTGAGATAGGTAGCTGTATAAATGATTGATAGGAAGAGATAGATAGATAGATGATATAGGTTAGATAGATAGATAGATAGATAGATAGATAGATAGATAGATAGATAGATAGATAGATAGATATGGATGGATGGATGGATGGATGGATGACAGATAGATGGTAGATAGATATGATAGTGATAGAGATTGACTTTTGACCTCCTGCTGGCTTCCCCAATGACTTTGTTGGAAGCCGGCAGTGAAAATCACAAAGAGCACCCCTGTAAGCATGTGATGCTGCAACAATCATAAATGCAAACTGGGTGCCAAGTGCCTGAATCATGATCATGTGACTGCAGCACCATTATGATGGCCACAATTCAGAGGAAGAGTTCCCCCATTCAGGTTTCAAACAGTCACTGAATGAGTGACTGCTGAATGAGGCCCATCTGTGTATTCTTCCAAATATTGAGAGTTTGAACCCTGAACATCTGTTTCCAATAAAATAATTAATTTTGTTCTAGTCAGTGAAAAAAACATTTTTGTCAGATGTTTATTAACTCTTCTATTGCAGTCATTGTTTTTTTAAAATGCTGCACATTCTCCTTTATGTTATGTGCCTGATTGCCATAGCAACTTCTCCACAGTTTTAGGAGTTTGCATGAATTCTAGAATTGCAAAAAGATTAATTAGCTCCAAACATGATTAACAACTGAGAAGAATTCAACACTGATGCGTGTTTTCATCCTGTTCCTATCACTTCAGATTGAGAATGAAGCTTCTCAGGATTCCCCTGGTTATATATTGAAGATTTATTCTTTTTCTCCCAAAGAGGATTATTTATGTTACTGATGACTTGCAGAATCAGGTGATTCTATCCATGTGTGACTAAATCACTAGAGAACTCAAGAGTTGTAATATTCTTATGCATGTTACCAGATGATGAATAATGAACAAGAGTCCTATATTATTAACTGCCAAAGAGCTCTTGCTTTCTTGAGGCTTGGTTCAAATGTGTAGAGAAGCTACCAAGTTAATTGATATTCACAACTTTTTTTTCCTGAGTAATATGGTTCTCTCATTTTGCCCCCCTCTTTCATGATTCACAAGCAATCCCAACTGCAATATTTGCTAAGTACTCCAGGTAACACAATGTAGAAAGAAAAAGAGCACTTTAGGGTTGTTTGCTTACACTCACACACATGCACAAATATTGACATAAATATATGTTTGTGGATGAGTATGTATACGTATATTATTACCAATCTACCATATTTTTCAGAGTATAAGACGCACCTTTTTCCCCCCTAAAAGGGGGTGAGAATTTAGGTGCATTTTATACACAGAATGTAGCCCCACTCACCCACTGGCCCCCGCCTCGCAGCAGTTACCTCCTTTCAAGCAAACAGCAAGAAAAAACAGCTCCTTTCAGCTTCAGGACAGCCTAATTAGCACAAGTTGATTGGATCGGCCTCCCAACTCTCAGCTGATTTGCTCTCAGCTGTTTTGGGCAGGGCTCTGCTGCTTGCTGCAAAGAGGTAAATTGCTGGAGCAGATTTTTTTTTTTTCCCTTGTGCTAATCAAGCTATGCTGAAAACGAAAGTAAAGCAGGCTGTTTGCTGCAACGAGGCAAAATTGCTCAGAGGCAGAGGGAGATTTCTTTTTCTTGTTTTCCTCACCAAAAAAGGTAGGTGCGTCTTATACTCCGGTGTGTCTTATACTCTGAAAAATACGGTAAATCATTCCACGTCAAGATTAAAGCCTCATCATTGAAGATTTTGGACCATAATGTATCATACTATCCTAGAGCAGTTCGGTTGAAACATCCATGAACCAACCTGCTCTGGTACATTATGGTCCAAAGTCTACAGTGAAGAGGCTTTAATCCTGACATGTAATGATTTAGATTGGTAATAATAATGTGTATACAAACCCATCCAAAAAACATATAATTATGTCAATATTTTTTCCCAATCTAGGAATGAGACAGTATGACTGGCCCAAAATCACCCAGGTAGTTTCTATTTGAAAGAGAGGACTCAAAATATTTCCCCACTCCTAGTCCAGCACCGTACTCACAGGATCATACTGCTTGTCATGTATATCTACATATATGTCTTGGGCAGGAAAAAACTACTCTAAACATCTACTAATTTGGATATTAATTAAATATCCCTATTAGTAATTATCATGTTTCTTCTTTACAGTGTTACATATTTTTCTGATAAATTTTCTGATACTTTTTTTTAATCAACTATCTCTGTGATGTTTTATTCTCAATGGTTCTGATCCTGGCAAATCTAAAAAAGACACCGTATTTATTCATTAGTACTCATCCAAAGATTTCTTGTATGTATAAAACAAGTATGTCTGGTCATGTCTTTTATTACTCACCAAGTACAAAAATTATGTTTGATTTCTTCAGGTCTTCTGTAAAATCTAAATTAAAATGAAAATAGTTTTAAACAATTGTAGTAAGCAAAACATACATAATGTTGTAAAATCTATCACAGTGGTTCTCAACCTGTGGTCCGCAGATCGTTGAGGGGGGATATATGATTTCATCACAAGTAGTCTGCGAAGGCTTGAAGAAATATTATTATTTAAATCTTGAGTTAAGTCTTGGGGGTCTGTGGCCATGATCCATGGCCACATAAGGTATTTAAAGAGTGTCCGTGGTGAAGAAAAGGTTGAGAACCACTAATCTATCATATTAAACTTACAATATGATCATGTGTGTCTCTACAAGGAAAAAATACTGAAACTTGTGTTCACTAAAATTTGTGGAGTACTTGGTGCTCTCTGAGCTTGATTGTTTTCTTGCAGATGTTTCATTACCCAACTATGTAATATCATCAGTGTTAAGTGTGGGATTCATTCCCTGTCTATATCCAATAGTTTGTTCTTCTAGGGGGAGAATAGTTTGTTCTTTTGGTGGGAATGTGAGTTTCTTCTTGGGAATTCCTTGATTAAGATATTTTCTGCTTAACTGTTTGCTTCTTACACAGCTCCTCATGTGGGAGACTGGATTGTTACTTTGGTAATGGAGCACTTGGTTAGTGTGGGTTGTTTTCGAAAGACCTGTGTTTCTAATTTGCCATCATTTCTTCTGAAAAAGAACATTACTCAGAACAGTACAAATCACTGCAGCAATCCAGAACACAAGAAAAAGGAAATAAACTGCCCATACAACATCTTCCAACAAAATGGATACCCACATAACTTCATCAAAAAGTGCCTGACTACTCAATCCACTACAGCACAATCAAAACAAGCTATGAAAAAAGTTAACACAACCATTCATCAAAAACATCTCAGAAACAACCAACGGACTACTACAACCATACAACATCACCATAGCAAACAAACCAACTAAAGCCCTTGAAGAAACATGACTAACTAAACTCCTTGAGTTAATGCATGGACAGACTCAACCACAGTTTCAACTGGAAAGAATCAACAATCAAGTAGAAAGCAATACGTTAATCAGGGAACTACCAAGGAGAAAATCACATCCCCAGCAAAACTGGCAAGGCAAGTTACCATATATAAATAGGGAGAAAACCCCCCAGTTACTCACTCTGATGATGTTACTTAATTGGGTAATGAAACATCTGCAAACAAACAACCAAGCTTAGAAAGCACCAGTGACTCCATAAGTCAATCATGAGCTACATATATTCTCTTCTATAGAAATCATTGAAATTTACTCTCAAATACAGGTTGCAGTCTGTTTTTTTCTTAAAATAAGTTTATATATATGACTCAGAATAGCAATTAATAAGCAATCTAATTGCTCATTGCTATTACAGTTCCTTATAGCCATGGTTCAAAATGTTTAATGCAAGATACCTGGAGGAATATTTTATGCAACCCTTGTTAAAACTTCATTTAATTTTATCAAAAGTTCATGAATGCCATTTTCTTCTGTAAGCTTTAAGTTCAAGTTGAAATCTATTCCATCAGTCCATACTTGTAACCTGAATACCAAACAATTGCAATTATTTCTTTTCTTGAACAGTATCTCTTTGCTCGCTCAAGGACAACTAAAGTTAATTACTGCTTAGCTGGGAGCATGTCTTACTGAATGCAAGCCTACACATGATGAAACTCTTACAATATTTTCATTGTTCATCACTATGAATGTTGTTTCATTCATAAAAATCTGAAGAACAATCTGTCAGTCATCATTCAATACATTTTTGAATATTTCATTACTAGAAGTACAGGGTTTTGAACCCTGCTGAATATAGCTATTTTGAACCTTGTGAGTACTGGATTAATAAAAGGCTGCTATTATACTTCCATTCCTGTACTAAAGAATAAAAGCTGCTCTATGGCCACTTCATTCCATATTATATGAATACTCCTAGAACATCTGCAAGGATACTCATTCATATTTCCAACTTCTTTGGACAGTGGGATATTGCAGAGCTGATCAAAAATTGCAAAAAAAACCACTCTGAATCTCCAAATGAAAACAAATCCAATGTTCAGCCATTCAATGCACATAGCCCTCCAAATTAAAATTATTATTATTATTATTATTATCATCATTAAACAGCATTGTCAAACCTGAAACATTTTGATTTTTGAATATGACAGATTTCTGATGATGTTAGGGATCCTTTGTTAAACATTCTGAATTTCTCATGGCACCATGAGGAGAGTTTCAATGGCTTTCTGTATCATAATTGCAATGTGAAAATCAAATGCTGCTACACAGGCCAGTGCATATATTTATCATATAATTTCTTATCATTATCTTTTAACGACCCCATAATCCCTTGTGGGGTGGAGTTTGGGCAACTGAATGGAGCTAGAAGAGTGTTTACTGGCCGGATGCCCTTCCTGTTGCCAATGCAGAGTTTTGTTCAGCAGATATATTCTCATTGTGCCCAGAGAGAGAAGTATCTGCCTCTACTTAGGATCAAACTCACAATCTCCTGATTGTGAGGCTAGAGTTCCACCTCTAGGCCACTGCACCACTCCCTTTATCCTAAAATTTGTTATGAGACTAACAAACTTGATTAACACCTTAGAAACACTGCTACATCTCTGAACAAGAAGTTAGCAATTACCCTTACAAATAAAATCATTGGAGAAGATGATATATACTTAATTTCTGAGGGCACAATGGTATTCATGAGACTCTGGAGTCAGTTGCATGCTGTTTCACATATATGAGGCTGTGAACATTTGAAATTAATTCATATGAGTACTGCTCTTTGATATCAATAAAACAAGCCATCTTTTTCCATTGTCTTTCAGAGCAGCATTATAAATTGACTCCTTAAAACAGCAGCATTTTTTTTCAAGTTAAAGTCTGTAAAAAGGATGTAAAAAGGATGCTGCTACTTTAATGAGCAGCAGGAAAGTACTTTGCTAGTGCAAAGTCCAAAATGCTTTGAAAATAAAGCATGCATGACCCCAACACAAGAAGATTAATTTAATATATATTACAATAATTTATACTAAAATTATAAAAACTCACCTGCATTTTCAGGCCTGCAAACACACGATTGTTCATATGCCTGTTATATTATAAATCGATATGGAAAAAATTAGCTTATATGTTATCATGACTAAATCTAATAATATGAAAACAGATTTGTCCATAATTCTAAGTCCACAAGTATAGGGTTTTTTTAAGTTTTTTTCACCAACCATTTTAGTGCACCTTATCATCAAATTAATTTGGGGCATAGTCATATTTTCAGTACTGAGTGTACAGTATATTTCATGTTTGAAATTTCAGCAATCCTTTTTAAATGCACCTGACTTATGCTGAGGAGCCAATATACACAATGTTAAAGATTTCAGATACAAGAAATACTATTTTCTAGGTAAATCAGGATACAAGGAATAATAAAGCATTCACTGTAGCTGAAAGTTGTAGAATTTTCTGAATAGGTATTGACTTACATAAACATGAGCAGGTAAGAGAACTCTCTGCCCAAGCAGGAGAACCTATACCATTTCGGACAAAGGGCCGTCCAATCTCTTCTTAAAAACCTCCAGTGATGAAGTACCCACAAGTTCTGAAAGCAAGCTGTTTCACTGATTAATTGTTCTCACTGTCAGGAAATTTCTTCTTAGTTCTAGGTTGAACCTCTCTTTGGTAAGTTTTCATTCATTACTTCTGGTCTCAGGTGCTTTGGAGAATAAGCTGTCCTCCTCTTCTTTGTAACAGTCTCTCAAATATCCGGAGACTGATATTATATCACCCCAGTCCTTCTTGTTAGACTAGACATACCCAATTTCTGCAACTATTCTTCATACGTTTTACCCTCCAGACCCCTAATCATCATTGTTGCACTTCTCTGCACTCTTTCTAGAGTCTCAACCTTTTTTGTATTGTGGTGACTAGAACCGGATGTAGTATTCAAAGTGTAGTCTCATCAAGGTAGTATATAGCAGTACTGATACTTCATATGACCTTGATGTCATCCCTCTATTCATGCAGATTAGGATTGTGTTGGCCTTTTTGGCAGCTGAAGCACACTGCTGGCTCATACTTAAGTGACTATCCATTATGACTCCCTCTCACAGTTACTGCTGTTGAGCCAGGTATCATGTATTCTATACCTGTATATTTGATTTTTCTTGCCTAAGTGTAAAGCTTTACTTTTCTCACTACTGAACTATATTCTCTGAAATGCTATGTTCTCTTCTCTTTAAGTCTTAATACATTGGCCTACTTCCACTCGTGGTTCTCACTTCACTTGGTATCTTCCCTTGTGTTTGTATGCACTTGTATGCTGAATTAAAGAGTTGATAGGTTTTAAATCCATACTCTTCTGATTCCTTGCTTCTTGCAATTGTTTCCTTCCTGCTACACAGTAATATAATTCTAAACAATGTTATAATGTATACACATCAGAAACCAGATAATTGCTTTTCCTCTTTCTCTTTTCCTCTTTTCATTTTTTTAGTGTGCCATTAATTGCCATCATGTGACTTCTTTCTGAGTTTTTGCCATTTTATCTACTACTTGCTCATTTTTCTGGCTTACCAATATTACCTGGGGTAACAAGGCTAAACAGATATACTGTATAACCTTTAAAGAGTTAAAAAAAAAAAGAATCCAAATTTAACTGTCATTGATATCTGGGATTTTAGAAGTTATACAGACAAGCTTCTGCCATGTAACGCCCTAGACTTAACAACTATTGATATGAATAATTTTTAAAAAATCTGGATAGTGGAAGTTGCAATACTTGGAGACAGCAAAAGAGAAGAGAAAGAACTGGAGAAAATAATAAAACACAAAGATCTGCAGATAGTCATAGAAATGATGTGGCAGAAGGCTTTGAAGTCAAAGATTTACACAATTTGAAGGGTATAAATATCTGTGTCAAATGATTAATGAATGTCTTCTTCATACTGTTTAGATGGTTTTGACTATCTAAAAATGATAATGTCTTCTCTTGCCATATGACTGTCTACATTATTTTTTAAAGTGGAGACATCCTGGAGGGATGGACAGATTGAACACCCTTAGAGCAAAAGAATAAAATGAGTCACTCACATAATTTGCTAATCTTTTCCTATTGTCAGCTATCCCTTCTGTGTTCTTCATATTATTCTTATCTAAAACCTTTTGGTCTTTTTTTATTATTTAATTTTTCAATATGTTCGGTTTCTGCTCGAGACCTAATGTGATAGATCATACGAAAGATCAGCTTTGGCACAGCAATTGTGTCACAATAATTATTCAGAGGTCATTCAAATCTGTAGCGAAATTGTTTTCTTTGTGATTTTTCTATCATTTTAGCAATAACAGAAATGTTATGAAGTAGATCGTGCCATGACACTATCACTGCTGAAGTACAGAGTGAAAATAATACATGAACTGTGTCAGGGATTCTCAAAGGGTGGGATGGGAGGGAACGTCTGAGAAGATCAATCAAATTTTGGAGGAGCAACAGCTAACTGCTAAAAAAGATAAAGGTCTCCCTCACACTTATGTGCTAGTCGTTCCTGACTCTAGGGGGCGGTGCTCATCTCCGTTTCTAAGCCGAAGACCCAGCGCTGTCCGAAGACATCTCCATGGACATGTGGCTGGCATGACTAAACGCCAAAGGCGCACGGAACGCTGTTACCTTCCCACCAAAGGTGGTCCCTATTTTTCTACTTGCATTTTTTACGTGCTTTCGAACTGCTAGGTTGGCCAAAGCTGGGACAATTAATGGGAGCTCACCCCGTTACGTGGCCCTAGGGATTCGAACCGCTGAACTGCCGACCTTTCGACATCTTAGCATCTTAGTCACTGAGCCACTATGTCCACTAACTAACTAACTGCTAGTGCCAAACTAATTCACCTTCCTTCAGCTATTGGCTAGGTGCCCTTATCTCCACCTATGAAAACAATGTTGGGTTTTGTCAGTAGTTACAGCTTCTGTTTTGTTTTTCCTCCTTGTCTGAGTTAAGACAAAAATAGCCTCAGCAACTTGCCAAGAAAAGGACAATACATCACTGTGCTGACCTCAATCTGAAGATGAACTGTGTAGGCTTCTATTTTGTGCTCGGGTTACAAGACCTATATTACCTTTCCTCCACATCATCTTTACTGCTTGGATGGGACAACTCTGGCTTTGTTGGCAGGAACGAATGGGCTCAAGGGTAGAATATAATTTAAAAACAAATACAGATTTCTAAATGAAAAAGTGGCACATGTTTATGTTTGTTCTGGGTTTCTTTGTTACAATAACTTCTCTACTATTTTCTAAAAAGTAAGGTGATGGTGGTAATAATAAACCATAAACTCGTTTAAGAACCAGGGGGGGAAAAAAAAAAGAATCATGGAATGATGCTGAAGACTTTTTTTGTCCCTTCAAATCTTTCACTAGGGCAGTGATGGTGAACCTTTTCAGTACCGAGTGCCCAAGCAGGAACGTGCACATGTGCATGCATGCACACATGCATCGGAAACTCATAGACCACCTGGTCTTTGGGTTTCCGGCGCGCACATGCGCGCTGGCCAGCTGGTCTTTGAGCGCACCGGAGCGTTGGAAACCCGAAGAGCAGCTGGCAACAGTGCTTGTGCCCACAGAGAGGGCTCTGCATGCCACCTCTGGCACATGTGCCATAGGTTCGCCATCATGGCACTAGGGTCTGCATAAAGATTATTTGGGGGAAATGGAAGGGATGTGATGCTAAGGGAAGATGCCACTACTATCTGAGTATACATAGTCCTCAACTTACTAACACAATTCAGTCCAAAACTGCAGCTGTTAGTAACCCCGTTGTTAAGTGAATCTGGCTTCCCCATTGACTTTGCTTGTCAGAAAGTCGCCAAAAAATGATCACATGATCCCAGGACACTACAACTGTCATAAATAGCACCAGCTGCCTGCAATGACTGCAAGTTCAAATCTCACCAGGCTCAAGGTTGACTCAGCCTTCCATCCTTTCGAGGTAGGTAAAATGAGGACCCGGATTGTGGGGGCAATAAGCTGACTTTGTATAAAAAAAGAACACCGCTTGGGGGGGCCGAAAGCCCTAATAAGCAGGTATATACAAAAGTATGAAGGCTATTGCTTAACGCATTGTAAGCCGCCCTGAGTCTCCGGAGAAGGGCGGCATATAAATCGAACCAATAAATAAATAAATAAATAAAATACAGCTCAGTTGCCAAGTGACCATATTTTGATCAAATGACCATGGAGCTGCTGCAATGGTCATAATTGTGAAAAATGGTCATAAGTCACTTTTTTCAATACCGTTGTAACTCTGGATAGTTACTAAACAAACAGTTGTAAGTTGAGGATGACCATGCATCATGAATATGGATTTTTCTCCATTAAATCCAACATATAATTCCTAATTATTTACCAGTTATTTTAATAGCGTTTCCTTGATTATTATCATTGTTCTTTGCCTATATATATATTTCTGTGTCTAAGTAAACACTTTTGCCTATCCATGCTGGATTGTTCTTGAATTGGTGCCAATTTGGCACATTAGCATACCTGATTGACAGCCAACCTGGTTTTCTTCCAGCTCTGTTCTCAAGCAGAAAAAAAAAATCTTTTTCTCATTTGAACTACATGAACTTCACAGAAACAGAAGATGGGGTGTTGGAAACCTCACCTTTTTTTTAAAGTTTGGGTTCTGCAAATGTATTGCCTGTTTAATATTACTGAGTGAATAGAAATCTCCAGGACTGGATTAGACTGGAAACTCTACACTGGTAATTTATGAAGGTGAACAGGGCAACAAATTGTTTTCATTAATGGAAACAAACTGTTTTCGTAGTTTTGGTCCATCAACTTTCCCACTGGGGTAAGGAATCATCTTACATTTACCAGTGTCATGTAGTTGGTGGCTTTGAATGTAGCACTAGTATATCAGCCAATTTTATTTGGGGTAGGGTGGCATCACAGAAATCTATTCGTTATTAGAGGTAGTCCCAAGGAGTTTGCAACCCACTAAATTATGTGATCTTGCCTAGCATCAAAACATCAACACATTACTGCACTAATGTCATTTTGGATCTAGACAGAAGATTGGTAAGTAATAACATCTCTAT